ATTGAATGTTTATTTACAGACGTGTGCGTGTGTGAGAGTGGCATATGTAGTTGAGTCGGATCATATTTTATTTGATGCCAGTATGAGCGTACTGTATCTTCCCTTTTTGTTTTAATCTAAGGACCTAATAAATAAAATTTAAAAAAATAAAAGTGTATTTTAATGATTAAAAAGTTACTTTACGATACAGCTAGCAGTACCTATTGTAATGAGTTTTATTTATTTTATAACACATTTGCTCGTAAAGCGTCTCTTATTGCAGCAATTTCAATATCATAATATATCACATTACACACGCGTGCGGTAATGTAAAGTAAAACGCACGGCGTATTATGTTCCGTCTAAAAACGAACGCTCCTTTTTTAAATCTTAGCAAAAAGTTTTATGTCGGAAAGGTAGCCAACATTTTCTTATAAAATTAACTTTGGGAGATAAAATATAATAATAAACATTTAATTCTTTAATTTGATTCATTTTGACAGTAAATTACAACCATGTAGCGGTAACAGATTCACAAAAATATTAATTTACTTTATTAGTAACACTGGCTGTTTTTTGTTCCTTTGCCTAAAAAAATGCGCGTCCGTTGATGCGCGCGCATCGCTAATCTGAGAAAAAGTTATTTCTTTTTCTTTTCGCTGTATTGTTTTTATTTAAAAATATTGTCAAGTAGTGACGAATTTATTAATTTGAAACCGCCCGAAGTCTAAAAGGGTACGCTAAGTCTCTTGCCCGAAAAATCCACGGATAGATACGTACAGTCAAGCGTATCAAAATTTCATCTTATGGAAAACAAACAAAGGTGCAAATTCATTTTCAGGAAGTACATTACTACGTAGGTAGTAATTTTTCCTCGCAAATGTGATAAGAAACGTCGTATGACATTCGTGCGGTTTGATAATTACAGCCTCTGCCTTCTTATAGCCCTCACCTACGGCTCGGGCTAACAATATCGCCTCGGCTGTAATTCTCAACTTACCGCACTTATATCATAATGTACTATTATGTTATATCTTTATAAACATCTTTAAATTCTAATTCGAATATTTCTACATGAGTGTAGATAAACGTAATTTACGAAGAAAGTTTAAATATCTCGAATGGTGAAGTGATGTGTTCAGATTTCGAATTACTTCATTAAGAGGTTCGTAATAGAAAGTTAATGAGTGAATACAATTATTTTCGAATTGGTCCTTACAATGAATGACTCAAAACTTTGAAGCTGCAATCAAACTAGCTCTGCATCGTAGGTATTTATATTTAGAATTATAATTTAGAAATCACATGTGGTAGAAATAACCGGATTCTGAATGACGTTCTTAAATGACGGATAACTAACTATCTTGTGTCAAATACTCTACTACCGTTTCATCGAATTTCAAGTCACAACGATACATAAGAAGTTTTTACTTCAAAAAGTCCGTGACAGCAGAATTCTATCTTTTAAAGGTCACCCACTATACCGTTTTTCCTCAAATGCGGGTGAAACCCCAGGGCACCTCTAGTATTCGTAAGGCTTGCGGGAGCCAGGTGTGAGGTCCGTTCGGTGTGCCTCTTAAAGGCGCCGTCGTCTGTAAATAGTATTTTTTGCCTGCGTATAAAAAAGGGCACCTCTAGTATGGTAAATGTGACCACAGAACATAGAAAGTGACCAAATCATAAATGACGTTCTTATGATGATTTGGTCACTTTATACCACTCTAGAGGTGCCCTACACGATTTGTATGTAATTACAAAGTTTGCGCAAATCAACGACGACAAATCGGTAAATTTATCATAATTATTATGGAAAACCGGCGGCCACCAGTGACTTCGTCGGCGTCAATTTAAGTTTTTAAATAGAATACTTTTTATAGGAACCGGAAAAATATTTTTTGTCTCCAATCCAGATCATAAACTATACCAAATTTCATCCGAATTCGTTCAGTGGTTTTTGCGTGATTGAGTACCTAACAAACACATGAACATTCACATTTCTAATATTAGTAAGATATTTATTGGTTTTGGTATATGCTCTATGATGCTGTACCGTTGGAAAAAATTACTAACTAGAGCGCAGTCTGTGCCTCTATTATTTTCCCAACAATGTGAGTAAATTCACACTAATGTTAGCTAATCTTGAAAACCTAGTTTAACCTTTAGTAATAAAACGTGCCAGCTTTTTAGTGACAATTACAACGTATGTGGATATTGTAGCAACAATGACAGAATGAATGAATTTCCTTATTTTAAGCCCACTTTAAAAATAGGAGGCGATTTTAAATGTATGCTCTGTTCATATTCGCAATTTATTGCAAGTCACATACATAATCGTATATACAAATACAATTTTATCATTAACTTGGGTACATTTTTTTGACTCGCTGGTCTTGTTGTCCCTAATTTTATCTTTAATCATTAAACATTTATACATTTTGTTTAAATAGATAATTGATTAGTAGTATGTGAGAAAAGTATCGTTTCCAAACTATAGTTTTCCAATAAAAAGTTAATCGATAGAAAATTATGAAATATTCATTGGAATAAGTAATTATCGTAGCCATCGTACCTTTCTTTAACAAAAATATTAATGTCATAACGCAAAGATTTCAAATTACTTATAAAGTAAGTATCCATACCCTTAGTACGAACCAATATCGAATTCGAATCGTTTGCAACCCGAAATGTCATTGTCAAATTTTGTTTGGAAACTTGAACAGCAGCGCTGCAAAGGACGTAACGAGAACTAAAAATCAGAACAAATTCGACAATGACATTTTTGACTCGTAAACGATTCGAATTCGATATTGGTTCATGCTATCGCTACTGATTATATTGTAGACAAAAATACTTGGGTTAACTTGGCAAACTGTTCCAACAATTCGAACGGGCAGTCCTACTTAGATGAAAATATCACAAACTATGCATCATGTATTGAAATCCCGATCCAGTCTAAAACCAAGCGGAATTTTTATAGTAATATCTCTTTTTAGATTAATACATTTGGCAGTAAAATGCTTAAAAATAAAAATATGATAATCATGTTTTGAAAATTTAACGGCATACCATCTTTGTTAATATCGATGCTACTCGTTAAACGTTGACAGCTTTTTGCCCGTTTTTCACCACAGTTAATACCACAGTTAGACTGGTAGGAGACAAAAAATCTAACGATTCAAAAGAGTTGTACTCGTATTAAGCATCTAAAACTTGATTAAAGAAAGTATAACTTTGACTTTATATTATTTCACTAGGTCCAAATGTCAGGTTGGATCAGCGTTACCATTGATACGGCAATTGCCGTAATATACGGCAATTTGAGCTAGTAATATACGGCATACGGCAGGTTTGTTATTGCCGTATAATAATATAAGGCAATCCGATCCAATTTTTTTTTAACCGATTTACAAGGATAATTTTTGAGTTAATTACGATTCCAACAAAACATCGTACAAAATTGTAGCTTAGGCACATCTATAGATGTAAAACAACCGATCTAAAACGTTTTAAACCAAATGTTGCCGTTTTAAACCCCAAATAAATCGTTTTAAACGGTTGAAAACTGGCATACAAAAATAAAAGAACTATGTTTTTTACACTTCATTATGGTATTTTTGGTTACTGGGTTTAGGTACTGGTTCTTTATTTACAGTCATCATAAATAACAAACCCCTATGATAAAGATACAAAAACTACATGCGAACGTACCTACAATCAGGGAGTCACTTTTAAAAGCACATTTTGACATATACAACAAGATACATAGAGATGTTAACTGTTAAAATGGGCTTGTGACGTGTCTGTATATGATGTAGTTATTGTCAGCAGTACCATCCATGCCCCAACCTTCCCCCTGTTGTTTTCGCGCCTGAGAAGCGTGCGTGCGCGGCGCGGGCGGCAGGCAGTTTATGTATGTGCATGTGTGTGTAGGGTAGGCGAGTTTTACACGTTTGCGTCGAGTAACGACGAGTGACGTCAACGAAAGTGCGAGAGTGTGAGTTTGGTTTTAAACCGAATCAAATTGATTGAATTGATTTATATCGTTTGAAAACATTTATTTTTATTTACTAACACAGAGTTTTTAACTTATGATAAGAGTTTTTATAACTTAGGTAGGTAATACTTATGCTTGGTCGCGGATGGACCATCTAGAACTAAACTCGCTAAGTATATCAATATCAGTAAGTATATCACACATTTACAAAATCTTTATACAGTATAAAGGTACTCCGTTATATTCCTACCTCGGTAAAATCAAGACAATGTAGTTATAATTAAGTAAAACATAGACATCAACACCAACCGTTTTAAATCGAAAAAAATGGTTTATTTCGGTTTTAAACGGTTTTTTTCGTTTTAAACGGATTGGCTTAATTGGTTTTAAACCGGCCTCACATCCCTAGCACGGAGAATGTATCCTTACTGGGAATCCACGTGCAGTATAACTAAATTAGTTTCTGAAACTGTAAATGGAACTCTTTTGGCTAAGCAATCCATCAGAAATCAAGTAAACTGTACAACATTTTAGCCCGCGACATGTGGCTGAAAATTAAAAACAAGGGCAAACATAGTATAAATAAACACGACAGCGAAATAGTTGTCTATTAAAAATTTGTATGACGGTGATATTAATGAGAAGGTTAATTTTTTATTTGTTACCTTTATAATATAGTTACTATTAATTAGTTACTAACTACCTATAAATTTTAATAAATAAAATTAGTTAATATGGCAATATCATGATTTTTATTTAAAAATACGGCAATCTGATGTATCGAAAGCGGCAGCTCTATCAAACTTGATGGCAACACCGGGTTGGATCCAGTCGTGAACCTGAGCCTGAGTGGAATATTTTCTAGTAAAATTTTATATAGAACTATTTTAATATAGATATTCAAAACTTAATTATAATGTAAGATGTAACTAAATTTGCCTAAAAAGCCTATAAAAACCGTAGGTGATTAAATTTCTGTTAAAATTATTCATATTTTCTAGGTTCCCCCTTCGTAATTGTACTCTTAATGTACGTAACCCCAGGGCTGAGCAGTAAGCCGTACAAGTGGGCCAGTCCGGTAATCTCGGCTGAGCCGGCTTAACCCTAATTAATTGAAATATCTGCTCCACTCCTTCCTTGTAGTGACAACACTAGTGTTGTCACTATTTATTTATTTATTGTGATAAAAACGACAAAAAGCAATTACATTTATCACACATTTACATTTTTAAGTTTCACACATTTTAAATGGATGTCATAATATATCATAAAACGTCAATATTAATATAATATACTACAAGGTTCGCATTTACACAGAGAGATCAATTTATTCCTAAGTTTCACTGAAGTTGATACTGTCACTTTCTGTAGATAGCAATAAAATGACACAACACGTAACACGTTAGTTTGACAAACACTTCATTCCAATGACCACTCTGAGTGCAAATGTTTTATTCATTGAGTAGAGTGCGCGGAAGTTTTAAGCTGCTATTTTGATCTTGGCTGCAGGCAGCACATACAGCGGCAAGTAGCCCGCCCGGCTACGAGTTTATAAGCATTTGTATGAAATAAATTCCGAACTCATGTATTCCATACAAATGTATGGAAATGCCAGTCTTGCACCCACAGCCAGGCTTTTTGCTGCGTGCATCTGCAGCCTGCAGCCGACATCGGAATAGCACTTTGAAAATACAATTATTAAAGTATTTGTGTTTATATTTCAAAACAGTCACAGAAAAGTACTTAAGCATAATGTTTGTATGAATTTGTACTATTTACACAAGCAATAATCGCTGAATTAATGGTCAAAACGTTACGGAGCTTACACAGCGTAAGTACACATAATATTATAATCGAATTGCCTTTAAAACGCTATGGAGTTTTAAGGTTATCGCTTATCAGTATTGCTATTTTGTACGAACTCACCTTTCACCTCGAAATACGCGGTGTGATTTGGAATTAGAACATGAATATATACATATCAATTTTAGTCTATTTCTCTGTTTGTCTGTATGTATGTCCGGGATAAACTCAAAAAGTACTGCATGGATTTATTTCAAATTTGGCACGAATCTTTTTAAGAAGTCAGGTCAACATATAGGCTACATATTATCACGCTATCACTTATGGGGAACGAGCAGTGAACCCTTTTGGGGTCAAAAAGTATGTGCTTTTAACCAACTCCACGCGTACTACGAAGTCGCGGGCGACCACTAGATTTATATAAATTTCAAATCACAGCAGCGAATTCCGCGGTGAAAAGTGTGTTTGTTCTTACAGAAAAGCACTGCATAGTTGCCCTGCACCCGAACTTATTTTCTTTAATATTTTATTACCAATGCAAAAAGAACGCGAGGCATTTAATAACAAAATGAAATAGCCAAAGCAATCCCAACAGGCGGTAGGTCCCCTGACCAGTGCTTCCACACTATTCTACTTCATCTTACTCTACTATCTTATGGCCGATTTCTTAGCTGAGCTATCCGTCCCGAACATGATTTCGAAAACTTTTTCACCAACTAAACAGATCCCATAAAACATTTACACTTTTATAAATCTCACCGAGGAGCTCGAGGACGCGGGTGCTTAGCGCGTTTGGTTGCGATCGTTGAAGTTAAGCAACTTTCGCAGTGGTCGGTCATTGAATGATTAGATTTCTTCAGTGATGGCTCCCTCAGGATTTGGCCAATATCTGGTGTGTCATTGAATGGCTGGTCCCGGCTGCATCTGCAGACGTTGGCATCCGCCAATCCGCACTGAGCCCGCGTAGTCCTATTCCATCCATAGGGAAGGCCTGTGCCCCAGTAATGGGGATATTTATAGACTGATGATGATGATGATGAAAACTCACCGAATGAACTACAGGCCAATAAACATTTGACCAACTGATCCTTTGTGCATTTCACTGAATGAATATTTTTTTATACATTGTGTTTGTGTTTAGTGGGTATAGTTAAACTAATTGACCATATTTTCTTTAAAAAATCTGCGGTCATTTTAACTTAAGAGCTTAAAAGACGACTAGACTACTTAAAACTAGTTTACACACACTACTATTCCCATGTTTACTTTAAAAAAACTGTGGTTCGGTTATTTTCATCGAATTGCTTGAAGGACGACTATCAAAAAACTAGTTTACAAACACTCTAGGTAAGCCTTTAAGTTTGAGTCATGTGTGGTTAAAGCCGGGTACTCATTAGCGACTGTCCGTAACCGTTGCATGCACTGTAACCAAAAAGCATAGTGTGTACTTAGATTAAAACAAAAAGGGTAGATACGGCACTAGCCTCACAAAAGTGATCCGCACAAATTTTGGTCTACGACCCTAATCGCTTTAGTCACAACTTGACATGCAAATGACGTACATGTGAACGCCAAAAATAAATTTGTTTCTTAGGTTTTCACGCACATCACTCATTAAATAAAACTAGTTTTTACGGGTTAATGCACGAAACTTTATTTATTTATTGACGTTTCGTAGCCTTTACAGGCATTAACCCGTAAAAACTAGTTTTATTTGCCAAAAAGAAATATTGATAATATGTATTTTGTGTTTATATGATAAAACAATGCCTAACAGTGCTGAAATTGCTCAAGAACTAAAAATAAAACCCACGGCATCACTTTTCATTCGTATGTACTATAAAATATATGTTTTCATTAAAATTGCTGTTTTTTTTTAAATCTTATTAGGTAGTGACGTCGAGTACTAATCGCGTGATTTGTCGGTAGTGCAGTGACGCGGATCTCGCCGTCTCGTTCGCGGTGCCGTTGAAACTTAACGTGCTGTTTCGCTCGGGTCGGTAATGCAGTAACGCGGATCTCGCCATCCCGTTCGCGCTGCCGTGGGTGGGAATTGGGATCAGTTTTTGTTTGATGCAAGTATGAGCGTACCGTATTTACCCTTTTTGTTTTAATCTAAGAGTGTGTACGTAGTTCGCTAACTTGCTGCTAGCGGTACGCGTGCGGTTTGCAGCGAGCCGACGCGACGTTTACAATCTTATATTAAAACAAAAAGGGTAGATACGGTACGCTCATACTTGCATCAAACAAAAACTGATCCCACGGCAGTGCGAACGGGACGCGAGATCCGCGTCACTGCATTACCGACCCGAACGAAACAGCACGTTAAGTTTCAACGGCAGCGCGAACGAGACTGCGAGATCCGCGTCACTGCACTACCGACCAATCACGCGATCATTACTCGACGTCACTACCGAATAAGATTCAAAACAAACAGAAATTTTTATGAAAAAATATATTTTATAGTACTTACGAATGAAAAGTGATGCCGATGCCGTGGGTTTTATTTTTAGTTCTTGAGCAATTTGAGCACTTTTTACAAACACACTTAGGCATTATTTTATCATATAAACTCAAAATATTAGCAATATGACGACCTCCGTGGCTGAGTGGTTTGTACTCCGGGTTTCATGGTGTCGCCGACTCGAGAGATCCCGGGTTCGAATCCCGGTGGGGGCAGATGTTTGTGTGATGAATGCGAGCATTTGTACTCCAGTCATGGATGTTTAATATGTATTTCTAGATACTTATATATGTACAGTATATGTATTCTATCCGTTACCCTAGTATCCCATAACACAAGCCTTACAGTGCTTACTTTGGGGCTAGGCTAATTGGTGTGTGTTAAAAAATATATTTCTTTTTGGCGTTCACATGTACGTCGTTTGCATGTCAAGTTGTGACTAAAGCGATTAGGGTCTCACTTTTGTGAGGCTAGTGCCGTATCTACCCTTTTTGTTTTAAGTTTACAACTGAGCTACAAGCGTACACACTAGAACCTCGTACTGTATTATGCATGTTACGGTTACAGCTCGCTAATGAGTACCCGGCTTAGATTGCTGTTTATTTATAAGCAATGCGTCATTGATGTTGACTGACAATGATGACAAAATCTTTAAATAAATATAAAGGTGAAGGTTCACACATTCATTCAGTCTGACTAATTTTAATAACGAAATGTACTTGACCTTTGATGTAAAATTTAACACGGTGATAGATTTTACTAGGAGACATGAGCTAAGAAAGGATTTTAGAAAACTTCCTTCCTAAATTATATCTGTTTAGTCCGTCAGTTAGATTATAAAAAAAATATGGAAATTTATTGTTTACTTTTGTCAATCCAACCAAAAAAATACAAAGATATAATCTGTCAAAGTTTGGGGTGTGGGGGCTCGTGACGTAACTTTATAGTAAAAATTGTGCGAAAAAGTGTCGTCACGCGACATTTCAAATCTCTGTAATGTTTTGATTATTTGAACAAAGAAAAAATACGTGTCAGATACTTTGTGATATACTTATACCTGATAGACGATGAAAAAAATGTAAGTATTTACGATTAATCATGAACCCTATGGGGGTTCATGATTAATCGTAAATACTTACATTTTTTTAATAATAAATGAAGAATAAGTTTCCGTTCATTACTACTTTTCAGTGAATTACAAATAGCACTTGAGTGATATGAATAAAACACGGCGTAGCTAGTCTAAGCTTACCTACGCCTCGTTTATGAATTAGGGGGAATAATTGCAAAATTATTTGGAATAACAACAACAACATATTGGCGCAAGTGGCTATCGCGTTCGGCTGAGATCGTTTAAGTTAAGCAAATTTTGCAGTGGTCGGTCATTGGATGGGTGACCAAAAATCTTCTATCTCGCGTTCTTCCGTGCTTCGGAAGGCACGTTCAGCCGTTGCTTCCGGTTGCATCTGCACTCGTTAGCACCCACCTATCTTCACTGGGCCCGCATGGTGGGTCATGGCCCAATCTCCCTATTCCATCCATAGGGAAGGCCTGTGCCCCAGCAGTGGGGATATTAATAGGCTGATGATGAACATCGATTGGGTGGGTTTAAGCGGTGAATGATAGTTGTAGGAAAGCTGCTAACAAATTATTGATCATCAATCATCAATGAAAAGACAAATAAAAAATACCTATACTATCAACAAAGAGCATCATAATAATTGTATACATTTTCCGTCCATTTTAAGTGCTACCCTACCTGTGTCCGATGACTTAAATCTATAAGTTATGAATATTTTTATTATGCTGCG